CTATCAAGTATGACCAATCAAAGCCATGTTTTCAAACTCTTTTCACAATGGATTTAACCGAATAAGGTTAGAGATTAATATTTTTTGTTTTAATAATTTCAACATATAGATAATTTTACATATCTGAACATAACGTGAGAATCATACCGAAAAATATTAATCAAACTATTAAAGGAGAGAGTTGCTAAATTACGAATATACCCCAAAATTAGATAACTTGTTCTTTCAACTGATTCTCGCTTACAAACGTCCCGTGGAAACCGTACGGCACCCTCTCTGGCAGTCGCACCGCTGCGACTTGCTTCATTTCCGATGCTTCAACCACCAAGAACTCCGACTCATCTTTATCTTCGTCTCTCACAATCACCATTACATGCCCTTCGTCTTCTCCTTCTTCCTCCGGTACGAAGTAAGTTCACCACCAAACCGACCCAATCTGTAATTGAATTCGGAAACGATACCGTCTTCCAAATCCACCTTCGCTAGGCCACTGCATCTCGGCCAAGATCAGCTATGGCTAAGTAAATGAACCGTGTTTTACGTCCCAAGAAACTTCGGGTTACCTGACCTGCTTCTAAATTAATCCCGGTTACGATAACCTTTCGGTTTGACTCTTTTGTCCTCAGGTTTAATCGGATTTCGGTTAATTCCATCCGAGTCGGTTCTCTTGATTCGCTGAAAATCTTATCGGGCGGGTTCATGCACGAAGTGATTACTATAATAACCGGGTCTCTTTCTTTAGTTAACTCTTCCACGCGTTCCATAGATGGAAACAAAAGCAATCGGGTACGTCGACCCAATTTATACCTTATCCGGTCGGATCCTGATTGGATAAAACACCAAATTTTGACAGCTTCTCTTTGTCTTAGATAACTGGTGATGGGGAGTAATGTCCATGTCACGCCCTACCTCGAATCATTTCAGATAATTTGAATACCAATTATTGATCTGGTATGATGACAAAATTTTTGGTTATCGCGAAATCGTGGATCATCGTGGGTTGCTCGAGAATAATGTCCATGTCACGTGTTTTTTTTCGCACGTGTCGAATTTAAGATACCTGAGATGAGGTTTCCCTAAAACGTTGTAGCTCAGCGTGTGGAGATCAAATGTGGTAGGGTCCACCTTAGGATGAGCTATCACTGGACAGTCGATCTGATCGTCGAATCTGAACCGTCCAATCGTCTCAAGATCTCCTTGACTGTTGATCTCCACGTGGTAAGGGAGATCATCTTCTGACATGGCTAATAACCTCCCGTTACAGTAAATGGATCATCTTCTGACATCCATACCACGTGTCACGTCTACGAGTCTGATCTTAGCTCGAGCTGCGAAAAAAGCAAATCGAGCTAGGCCCGAGTGCCGTGAACATCACCGATTGGTTTAGGGAAAACCGGTCTTCTTAGCTTGGTTTCTTGAACAAGCCGGTTTGTTCGAGTGTACCGACAGCTGTAACTAACTCGGTTATCAGAACCGATTTTAACGGCGTGAATCATTCCGTCACCGTCAAAAAGATGGTGTCCAGCTAACGGAGGAAACATAAGGTTAGCTCCGTTACGAATGTAGACTCCTCGTAAACAAGAAGGAATCTCAACAACGACTTCTAAACCATTCTGAACAGAACATTCATTAACCGGAGCAAAATTACCGAATAATTAAACCGTCGGGTCAGTCGATTTAGGAAGTGGGTGATTATGTTCCATTGGTACAATAAGGGAAGACTCAGTCTTGTCGAGCATCGAAGACGCTAGCTTTTGAAGTGGGTTTAAGTGGTGATGCGTCGGCTTGGTGATCACCGGAGACGAAGGTGATGTCGCCGAAGAAGTGAGGAGAGGAGGCAAATTATCAGTAAGTTTTGTTTTTTTGGAAGGGTTAATGAGAATTCAACAATTGGTGGTTACATGTTTGGTTTGTGTGAAATAAAAATGAGAGGAAGTTTCCGGCAGAAAAAAATCGGACCAGAGAGAGTGTTGCATGGCGATGGAGGTAAGAGTGGAGTGAAAGATCTTTGTATCATAAATATTAAAGATATTTATCATGTTTTATAAGTAAATATCTTGAGGCTTTCGAAACATGCGGTTAAAAGCTAACGCTTGATTTAAAAATATAAAAATACGTATATAGTAGGGTATCGACATGTGGCAAAAATAACTATTTATTTATTATAATAATAATAATGAAGGATTGGAAGAATAAAAAAAATCTTTTGCAATATATATATTTTATTTTTGCCAAAGACACATTTGTGCGTAATTGTCCTTTCTGGAGCCTAGTTCAAAATATAGTCATCAAATTTCGTATGATGCAACATAATATATTCGATTTGCAACAAGTTCACATAATAAGACGACCTCATAATTAATGAAACCAAACAAAATTCCTAAAATTTTGAATATGATGATATCATCTGTTTTTGGATTTTATACCGTAGTATCATGCGACTTTGATATGCCTTTCACGTGGGATGGTGGCACGTGTGTATAGTCGCTCCGACCGCTTACCCAACGACCAACACTTGGCATTATGAGACCGCTTAGGAAAATGCCAACGTCTACGCTATATTTGGACTAATTTGAAATATCTAAAACTCGTAAGATGATTATTGGTCAGGTCACATCCTTTTTATTTTCATTATTGCTTGTAGATAATTTGATTGTATATGGTGTTTCTTTAATTAGAAAAGTTACTCATATATAGTACATTTTTCTTTCCACGGTATTTAGTAATACGTTTAAAATCATGTGTCTTGCGAAATAATATATAATTCATACTAACTTAGACAAGATAGCATTGCCTGTATATAATTAAATCCATTGGGGGTACACTAAAAAAAATGACTGAGCGATTCATATATAGGTGATGTTTGGGTTTTAAATCGATCACTGATATACGTATGTATCCTTGGACGTTACATACATCAAAATAAAATAACAATGAATTAGTTTTGCATGCCTCTACTTTTACCAAAATAGCAGACATCCAAATATTAAAGGTGTGCATAGTGAATGAAATTTTGTGGATACGAAAGAAAGTGTATATACTCTAATTGGTATGACTTTGTAGGTGTAAAATTCATGTGGTGTATGATAAAACTTCAACGTTTATTACTAACAAGGATAATATATGTAAATGTATACGTCAAAAGTTAAAATCAATTATTTGTGATGTGCGATAAATAATATGAAATTGCTGTTGGAATACATTGGGGGGAGATGGGAGTAGAGGCTTGTTGAGTAAAATGACCAACGAGGAATATGCTTTTCATGAGATGATCGTTTGTTAGGGTTCTGGTTTTCTTAAACCGGATTATACTAGGTTCTGGTTTCTTAAACCAGATTATATTGGCCGCTAATTAGGCCCGGTCCGGCCAGGAAAAATTGATACTTACAAAATACATTTTCTGTCTTTATGTTCTTACTGCATAATATAATGAGAAAATGCAGCACTCCGTAGTTTCGAAGGTGGTGGGTGTCGTAAAAGAATTTGGATCAAAACACCTTAAATGCTAGTGGGCATTCTACTTTTTTTTTGTCTTTTATCATTTTTTGTACACATGTATTATGGAATTCGCGAACAAAGAGATATGTCGATTCAATACAATGTTATCTTAAGTTTTTAACTATAGATATTTTATTTTATATATTCTTATTAAAATATCATAATTCACAATACATCCAAAGTAGTGTTATAGATGAATAGTTGTTTATATTTAAGTGTTAAGAGTTAGAAACATATTGGGTAAATGGAGCCCACTTATTCAATGCACATTTTACAAGTATATACACATTAATTATAAGTTAGTTTATATGTTAATGAATCCAAAGTAGACAGCTTGATTTATTCCAAGTATCAGTTTCCTTTTTTTTTTGTCCTCTAAATTTTGATTTTGGTTGGTCATGCGAATAACAGTGGTTAGTATTGGCTTGCGAACAATTTGCAACAAGTTCACATAATAAAATGACCTCATAAATAATGAAACCAAACAAAATTCCTAAAATTTTAAATTTGATGATATCATCTGTTTTTGAATTTTATAACGTTGTATCACGCGACTTTGATATGCCCTTCACGAGGGACGATGGCACGTGTGTATAGTCGCTTCGATCGCTTACCCAACGACCAACACTTGGCATTACAAGCCCGCTTAGGAAAATGCCAACGTCTACGCTATATTTAGACTAATTTGAAATATCTAAAACTCGTAAGATGATTATTGGTCAGGTCATAACCTTTTTAGTTTCATTACTGCTTTGTTTATTGCATGTGGCAAACTTAGGTGAGGTAAATGGCCCCATAAAATTTGAAAATTCTTTGTTATCCTTAAAACTTAATTTATTTCTTTTGCGAAGGATAATATTATGTAATCCACCAGTCATAATGTAAGATTTTATTTATGAACCATGCATGCATGTGTTTACGTTTAGTTGGACACGAACATAATCCTTTTAAAAATTTATGGAGTTCAAGACTAAAAAATGTGTAAATTTTTTATTGATTATATTGTTAAAATTACTAGTTGGTGTAGCTACTACATAATAGACGTGCAAAATTAGCATGTCCTTATACCGAATAAATTAGAAAAGCATGCAAACTTTCACCCGAAGTATGTTATGTAGAAATAAAACTCTGTAAAGACCAATTCTAAAAAGTACAAAAGAAAACAAATTCTGAAACAGAAAACCCAAAATCAAAGGTAGGTAAGTGATCAATATGAACACCAACTCTGCTACTAGACCGCCTTATCATAAGATATTCTTATTCTAAAATTAGATCAAAGAGAAACTTGATTGTCTTTTGTGGACCCTACCTTCAAAATATAGTCATCAAACTTCGTATGATGCAACACAATATATTCGATTTACAATAAGTTCACATAATAAGACGACCTCATAATTAATGAAACCAAACAAAATTCCTAAAATTTTGAATTTGATGATATCTTATGGTTTCGGATTTTATAATGTTGTATCATACGACTTTGATATGCCCTTCACGTAGGACGATGGCACGTGTGTATACCCGCTTCGACCTCTTACCCAACGACCAATACTTGGCATTACGAAACCGCTTAGGAAAATGCCAACATCTAGGCTATGTTTGGACTAATTTTAAATATCTAAAACTCGTAAAATGATTAATGGTCAG